CACACAAACAAATTGAGAGATAAAAATTATATAGTCATATCAATCGATGCAGAAAAAGCATTTGACAAAATCCAGCACCCTTTCCTTATAAAAACTCTCAACAACATGGAAATAGAAGGATCATTCCTCAACATAATAAAAGCTACAGATAATAAACCCACAGCAAACATCATACTCAATGGGCAAAAATTAAACTATTCTCACAGGGATGCCCACTCTCAGCACTCCTGTTTGACATAGTACTGGAAATACTAGCTATTGAAATTAGACAGAAAGAAGACATAAAAGGCATCAAAATTGGAAAAGAAGAAGTAAAGTTGTCCTTATTTGCAGATGACATGATATTGTACACACAAAAAAACCAAAGACTCCATAAAAAAACTAATAGATTTAATAAATGAATTCGGCAATATAGCAGGATACAAATTTAACACCAAGAAATCTATGGAATTTCTATACACCAATATTGAACTTACAGAAACAGAGACTAAAAGAGCAATCACATTTACCATCACACCAGAAAAATTGAGATACCTAGGAATAAACTTAACTAAGGAGATAAAAGGCCTATGCACAGAAAACTACACAACACTGAAAAAAAGAGATAGAGGAAGATGTAAACAGATGGAAGAACATATCATGTACATGGATTGGTAGAATCAACATCATCATAATGTTCATACTTTCCAAAGCAATTTATAGGTTCAATGCACTCCCTATTAAAATACCAATGACATATTTCACAGACCTAAAAAGAACTCTCCAAAAATTAATCTAGAACAAAAAAAGACCCCGAATAGCCACAGCAATCTTGAGAAAGAAGAATAAAGTAGGAGGGATCTCAATACCAGATTTCAAGCTGTATTACAAAGCCACTGTTCTCAAAACAGCCTGGTACTGGCACAAGAACAGACATACAGATCAGTGGAATAGAATAGAAAATCCATATATCAACCCAAATCACTATGCTCAATTAATATTTGACAAAGGAGGCACAAACATACAATGGAGTCAAGACAGTCTCTTCAATCAGTGGTGTTGGGAAAATTGGACAGATACATGCAAAAGAATGAAACTAGATCACCAACTTACATAATACACAAAAATAAACTCAAAATGGATACAGGACTTAAACATAAGACAGGAAACCATAAAAATACTAGAGGCATCCACAGGCAGCAAAATCTCAGACATATTCTAAAGAACTTCTTCACTGATACTGCCCCTAGGGCAATGGAAGCTAAAGAGAAAATAAACAAATGAGGCTACATAAAAATAAACAGCTTTTTTTACAGCAAAAGAAACCATCAATAAAACAGCAATATAGCCCACAAATGGGAGAACACATTTTCAAATATTATAGCTGATAAGGGTTTAATCTCCAACATCTACAGACAGCTTATACAACTCAATAAAAGGAAGGTAAATGATCCAATAAAAAATGGGCAATGTGCCTAAATAGAATCTTCTCAAGAGAAGACAGAAGGAAGGCCAAGAGGCACATGAAAACATTCTCAAAATCACTAATTATCCTAGAGATGCAAATCAAAATGACAATGTGGTACTTTCTCACACCTGTTATAATGGCTATAATCAACAAATCAGCAAACGACAAGTGAGGATGTGGAGAAAAAGGAACTCTCGTGCACGGCTAGTGGGAATGCAGACTGGTGCAACCACTGTGGAGAACAGTATGGAGTTTCCTCAAAAAACTGAAAATGGAACTCCCATTTGGCCCAGTAATCCCACTTTTAGGAATATATCCTAAGTAACTAGAAACACCAATCAAAATGGATATATGCACACCTATGTTCATAGCAGCACAATCTACAATAGCTAGGATTTGGAAATAGCCTAGGTGCCTGTCAGCAGATCATTGGATAAAAAAACTATGTTCTATTTACACAATGGAATATTATGCTGTCATAAAAAAGAAGGAATTCTTATAATTTGCAGCGACCTGGATGGAATTGGAGAACATTATGCTGAGTGAAATAAGCCAGTCAATGAAAGGAAAACACCACATGACCACACTCATTTATGGATAATAAAGAACATTATAAACTGATGAACAAAAAGATAGATACAGAGTCAGTAAAGAAAAAAACAGACTGTCAGATTACAGTGGGGAGGGTAGAAAGACATGGGGGAGATAAGAGATCAACCGAAGGACTTGTATGCATGCATATAAGCATAACCAATGGACAAAAAACTGTGGGGAGGGAGGGCATATATAAGAGTGGGAGAGGTGAGGTTTGGTAAGGTATGTACACATATAATACCTTAATAAAAAATGAGAAAAAAAAGAATGCCTGAGTATTCCTTTCTAGATGTACTAGCAATCATCAGATGTATGGTTATGTTACCTGGGGCAAATGGGGAAGTATTTTGGACTTGTGCTCCTGAAATTTCACAGGTAAGACCCCTTACATGGGCTGATCCCCCACCTAATGTAGTCATCAATAATACAAAACACCTTGGTCAACCAGGAGGACCATGGGAGGTGTAAGAAAGTATAATTACACAGGGGTCTCCACCCAGCTTCCCTTTTGTATGACACAAAATCAAAAACACTTCCTCTTTGTGTGTAAAATTAAAGAGCGGTTTCTGGCTTATGTGGACACCAAAGAAAGGGTGTCACTATTATCACTACTAGTCCCTTGGAGAGGGCCAGAAAATGTAATAAGACCTGCCCATAGAAAAAGTAATGGACTGCCAGTATGAAATGGAATTGCCATAGCCTAGAACAAAGAATATCCTTACATGATATTATTCTACAATGTCATTAAAAATTTTCCCAGATTTGTGTTACCCCAATTACTTATAATAGTACCTTGAACCCTTTGGAATAAATAAAAACTCATGTTTTTGGTGCTTGGAGACAAAGGTAACACATCTTTTAATATTCTAAAATTACAATAGCATACTACAATTATCTCAAGCAAACTTACAAATTAACTCTTTGAATGTCTGGCAGCAATTTAAAAATGACATGAAAGGATTTAATATCTTCCATTGTGTAGAGGGCTTCCTGGGAAGGCACCTAAGCATTCCATTTGGGCCCCTCTTGCTTTTTTGGCCAAGAGGGATCCTCTTCTCACAATCCAATTGCCCACAGCTGCTGCCTGAGTTTTCTGTTCATGTCGAGGTTGAAGCTTCGTGATGATTGGTACCATGGATCTGTCTCTTACCCAGTGGGGCGAGTTGGGCCCTCTCTGGATAAAAAATCCTGGGTTCCCCAAGATATGTGATCAGTGTTGGGGCTCCACCAGCAGGCAAGGGAATCCTAAGGCAGGAACTGGACGTGGAGGCCACGGGGGCATAGGATACCAAAGAGATAGAACTGAACCTCATATCACCTTGTTTGGCCCCAGAGGATGGCTGGTTTGCCAGTGACGGGTTCAGGAAAGGAACAACCTAAGACAGGCACAGTCGAAGAGGGGCCATCTGGAGAGAACTTGGGGGTCAACTGAGGTGGGGCACAGATCCTCACCCCCAAAACTTTGCAGGGGCCTGAAACCTCACCCCTGCTGAGGGAGGTCTCCTGCCCCAATGGCTGCTTAACTTCCCATGCCCAGCTTAAATAGGGACCCGGGTAAAAGACAGAGACTTGGCTGACAGCAGCTGCCCTTGCACTATAACAAGACTTGTTTGAGTTGTCTTGTAAACAACTGGTGTTGGAGAAGTGGGTTTTTGCTATCTAAATCCAGCCTACCACCAGGAATGCTCAGGACCTACTCAATAAGGCAAATAATCCTTTCCCCTAATACTCACACAGTAAAATAAGATTGTTTTAGAGCACATGTGTCAAACACAAGGCCCGCGGGCCAAATCCGTCCCGCCAGGCCTTGCAATGTGGCCCGCACCGCGCTGTCATCACTGCACTCCGCTGCGTTTCCATCACAATGACAGTTTATGACTGTTTAGTAAACCATTCGGCCCTCGATTTAGGCTGGATTTTAGATTTTGGCCCCTTCTCTGATTGAGTTCGACACCCCTATTTTAGAGTAATAAATTTGACAGTAAAATAGTACACAAGTTTTCAGGCTAATTTAAATTGGCTAATTGAAATAAGCAGATATCCTAGAAAAACTAATTGCACTGGACAAAAATCTGTTCCTAAAGTATTAACTAAAATTTTTATTGGTAGTTCATCTCAGGATAAAATCTCACAACAGGAAATGAACCTAAAGCAGTCATATTACAGTACAAAAAAATTAAAATTTAAAAGCTATCAAGACTACATTATAACATTTTCAAAAGCCTCCTAATATTTAAATAAAAAATGAGGGAAGTAGAAGAATATCATGTAAGGAAAAATATCCTGAAAGTAAATTACATCTAGAAAATTTGTACTTTAGAAAATTAATTGTAATGCTATCAACACACATGGTGTCAAAACAAGCCAGAGGAAAATCATTTGGGCAAAAAATGAAAAAAGGATTCCAAGTCAAATTTATAGAAAATATTCCTTTATTAACTTTTGGTCGAGAATATGTTTGTATATTTTTAGAAAACAACTCTGAGACCATGTGGATTCTGGCAACAGAGAGGAATTGACAGGACTACTCCAACCATGAAGACAGAAGAGAAGCAGTCCAGGGATGGAAGACGCTGACGACGCCTTGCCATAATAGCAGTCAGCAGCTGTGTGTTTCTGCAGGTTGCCCAATACCAAACCAGAGAGGGTTGGACCTGCATTACCACCATTGGCCCACCATCCAGAACTGAAATATCATTGCTGACATGTACACATAAGGAACTGTTTGACATTGAAATTGGGTCTCAAAATAACTAGTGGCACAGAAAGAAACTCACTACAGACTGATTCATATGCCTTTCAGTATAACGATTATTGCTTGTCTCATTTTAATTCTTATAAGTATATTTCCAGTAGGACATGATCTCACTCATTTAGGGGAAATAGTGAACGATATAAACTGATGAACAAGAACAGACCCAGAGATAAGGAGCTATGGGTCAGACTTTGGACCTCAAAGGAAAGGTGGGGATAAAAGGGAGAGATCAACCAAAGGACTTATGTGCATACATATGAGCCTAACCAGTGGTCAAGGACAATAGGGGGTTGGGGGCATGAGTGGGGGTGGAGTGGGGGATTGAAATGGGGGGTTGAGGACAAATATGTGATACCTTAATCAATAAAGAATTTTTTTAAAAAATTGTAAAATGGTAACACTTTTCAATTTTATTTTATTTTTTGCTTTGGGAAATAGTTGCTCTTCAAAAACAGTTTTTATATAATGAGTTTATTATTATTATTAAAAATTAATAAATACATTTAAATTTTCATTATAAATTTTGAATACTGTAAATATCAATAAATATAATTCAGATAAACAAAGGTTATTTGGAGTCTTCCATAAAACTTTTGAGAATCACTGACTGAGAAAAATAAATAAACATTGAATTTATGAGATGTGATCTAAGTCATAAATACTTTTATTTCTTAAAAAATTGATATCAAGGTGAAACTTAAAAATTTATAAATTCAAAAAAGAAAAAGCACACACTTGGATTAGAAACTGAGTACTGTTTCTCAAAAAGTATTTTTAATAAGCAACTTTAATAAAGAAAAGAGCAATAAAGTACAAGTAAATAACATTCCAACTTAAAGATATAATATATCAGGTTATTTTAAATTATAAGTGAATTTTACACTTGAAACTTTCCATGAAAAAGATACATTGAAAGAATTACCAAGCTAATTTAAGATGAACAAGGAAACATGATACATTAGTAGCCTTAGAAGAAAATTTAAAAGTTACAAAAAATAGCCCTGGCCAGTTTGGCTCAATGGATAGAGCGTCAGCCTGCAAACTCAACAGTCCTAGGTTCGATTCTGGTCAAGGTCATGTACCTTAGTTGTGGGCACATATCAAGTAGGGAGTGTGCAGGAGGCAGCTGATTGATGTTTCTCTCTCATTGATGTTTCTAACTCTCTATCCCTATCCTTTCCTCTCTGTAAAAAAAATCAACAAAATATATATTTTTAAAAATTACAAAAAATTTCTTTCTAAAAGATTCTAGGACCAGATGTCTTTTAAAGGAATAGGTAATGATAAAACTCTTTCAGAGTATATAAAAATTGGAACAGTAACCTAACCTAAGATTCAGAGAGATAGCACAAAATGAAATCATGTTTCATGTATAAATTACAGATTTTAAGAAATATAAGTATGTTACCAGCAAACTGTATTCAACAGAACATTAAAAGAATCACTGAGCAAGATGGAGGAGGTTATATTCCAGGAATGCAAAGGTGATTTAATGGAGGAAATTATTGGGAAAAATAATTTAAATAGATGTCAAAATGGCATTTAAAAGTCATCCTGGTAAAAATATTTACAGAATTAGAAACAGATTTTCTCAATCCTATAATAAGCATGTAATAGTACAGTAGTTTAAAATATGTATTGAGTAAACACCTCTCTTTCTTGATAGCAAAAATTAAAGATAAAAATTAAAGTCGGAGTTAAGGTATAGAAGTCTGCTATCACTTGTTAGCAAATGTTCTAGAAGTTTTGGTAAACTTTTGATAATATATCATGAAAAAGAAATCAGAGCTATAAGTATTAGAAATATGGAGTCAATATTATTATTTCCACATGATATGATTATTTCACTAGGAAATCATGAGACTCAATTGAGAATGTCCAGAAGTAATAAAATTTCAGCACAGTGGTCAGATAATGATAAATGTAAGAAATCTAAAACTGTAGTTCTATATACTAATACCAATTTTAAAGATTATATAGAAATAGATTTCATTCTCCATCATTATCATTATCACCATCATTATCATATCCCAACAAATACAATTAAATATCTCAGACCAATCTTCAGAAGAAATGTAGAGACTCTATATGAGAAATATCAAAATGTTATGGTCAGATATAAACTATTTGAATAAATAAAAATAAATGCTATGTTCCCAGGTTGGATGTTTCCACCATGTCTATTTCTTCCCAGTTGACTTAGAGATGAAATACATGATGCAGGCTCCAATTCAAGTGCCACCTCCTTTGAGACCTTTTCTGATCATATAACTTGAATAGCACCCTGCTCCTCCAACAAGTTACTTGTGCCCCTTTCCCATGTTTTCTTTTCTTTATAGCATGCATTGAATTCTGAAATTATTCTTTTGCCCCCACTTGAATGTAAGTGTGTCAGGGTGAGGGTGATCTTGTTCTCTGTGGTATTCCCAGTGCCCACAACAGAGCCTGGCACATAATAAATGCTCAATACATGTTTACTGGATGGAATTAACACCACTCATCACATGAAAACACCACCAGAATATTTTTTCTTGAATGTGACAAAATGGTTCCAAAATTAGCTGGGAATATACAAGGTATAAATCCTATATATTAAAAGGCTAATATGCAACTCAACCAAATGGCAGAATGACCAGTTGCTATGATGTACACTGACCACCAGGGGCAGAAGCTCAACACAGGAGCTAACCCCCTAGTGGTCAATGTGCTCCCACAGGAAGAGCACTGCTCAGCCAGAAGCCAGGCTCATGGCTGGTGTGCACAGGGGCAGTGGTGAGAGCCTGTCCTGCCTCTGTGGCAGCGCTAAGGATGTCAGACTCTCGGCTTAGGCCTGCGCTGTGCCATCAGTCGAACATCCCCCGAGGGCTCCTGCACTGCAAGAGGGTGCAGGCTGGGCTGAGGAACTCCCCCTTTCCAAGGGCACAAATTTTGTGCACCGGGCCTCTAGTATATAAATGCTAGATGATCTAAAATGTTACTAAAAAGAAGCAAACCACAAGACTTACCATAACAAATATCAAAACACATTTTAAAGCTGCAATAGTCAAAATGTGGTACAGAAATAATGTGACAGATAAATCAAACAGATCAAATACTCATGAAACAGACTTAGTATAATAAATTGCTATTAGTATATAGAACTGCAATTTAAGATTTATTACATTTATCATTATCTAATCACATTATCTAAAGACTAAGCACATTCTAAGCTTTCCAAATTCGGTTGGAAATTGGTTAAATATTAGGGAAAATCTATATTCTCATTTTATATTATACTCCAAATTAAATGTAAAAATGTTTAGTGCCCTTGGCCTCCCCCCCAATAAATTTTTTTTTGCTGTATTATTCCATTTATGTAAGGTTAAAAAAGCAAACAGGCAGAATGAATCCTTTGTAACAGTGGTCAAAGCCACAAATACTCTTATCTTTAAAAAAAATGGAAATCCAGTTGGAAAATTTAAAACAAAAATGTATAAATTTTTCTTGGAAGTGGGAGGTATTAGTGACTGAGGGGGTTGCACCAGAGGGGATCCTGAAATTTCAGTAGAATTCTATATCTTGATCAGAGTACTTACTCCATGAGTATGTTCACTTTGTGAAAGTTAAGCTGTGTAATTTTCAAAGGAGGACTTATCTTATGTATTTATACTTAATACTTCAATAAAAAGCTTATTTATCAAATAAATAAATGCGAGGCCAAGTTGATGGTTCTGGCCAGAGGTTAGGGTTTCTGTACTTAAACATCCATTTCTTTTTCACTTGTGCTTTCAGAGGAGGCAGGGGGGGTGGATGTTAAAGCTGTGTGGTGGAAAGTTGGCCTTACTTACATGAAGCCAACTAAGCAGGTTTGTAAAAATTCTGGGTTGGAACTTGTGGTCACCCCTTCCAGGAAGGGTATGTTTCACAGGGGGTCAGGAATCCTCATGCTGAACAGAACTGAGGATCTCTGCCTTCAATCTCACATGCTCACAGCAGGAATTTTGTTGTTCAGTGAGTATCTGAGATGCAGATGAACATTTTGAAAAAAGATTCATCATAGAATAGAAAGACTATATTCATTTTAAAAGTAGAATATATAAAAGCCCAATCCTTGCTACTTGTCCAGATTTTAATATGTATTAATCAATTTCTGGTTGTAACTATGAACATCTTGGTGACATCTCAAGTCAATGAGCTCAGTTAGGGCACATCACACCAACTGGATACAATCCCAAGAGCTTTTGAGTCCTAGTTCATTGTCAGTTATAAAAGCATGTACCATAAAACTTTGTTTTTTACTATTTGCTTGGTATGGTTAGAAAGGGCTCTTCACTTGTGGAATGGTATATATTGTCCAGACAAAAACCTCAAAGCACAAATATGTGGGTCTATAACCATATAAATAAAAATTAGTCTCTACTAGTATAATAGTAACAACATTAAAAATTGTAATGACATTTGAATACTTGTTGAATAAGTATTTTGTGATGGAGTGCTTTACTAGTACCATAGTATCTTATTTAATCTTCCCAATGATCCTATGAGATAAATATTATTGTTGATTTATTTGCCAGATAAAGAAAGTGATATTTGGAGAGGTCAAGTGACTAACTGAAGCCACAGAGCCAGAAAGTTGAATGGCACAACTTGCACAATCCTATTCATATTGAAATGTTTGAGACTTTGAATGTTGGATACATTTGCCTGTGAAACTAGTGACTAGTATTTTCCTTAAAAATTCCAAGTTAGTCTTAGGTATTCACGTTTTTTAAAATTGTTTAAAGTATTACATATGTCTCCTTTTCTCCAACTGACCCCTCTCCTCACCACTTTCTCCCCTCAGGACAAGTCCCCAGTGCCCCAATGTCCATGTCCATTGGTTATGCTAATTTGCATGCATACAAGTCCATTCATTGATCTCTTACACCACCTCCTCTTCGCACCTTCTCTCTAAGGTTGGACTGTCCAGTGTTTCTTAGTATCTAGCTATTCCCTTTGGTTTAAGTAAAGGATAGGCTAGCTGCATTGTAGAGTAGTCATCAGAAGAAATCTCAAGTCAGTTAATTAGATCCTTTTTCTTTGATGAACCAATTTTCACCATACTAATAAAAATTTACCTTCAGGATTAATATTGGTCTTCTTGTGACAATTTTGGAAACTTATAATTTATGAATATGTGATTTATTTGGGATAATTAAAAGCAGAAAAATTCAATTTAAACAGAGCATTAATGAAGGACAGGGACAAGATCTCTGCTGCCCAGAGAGGATTTGCTGTGAGGATTAGGTCATTGCCATGGTTAATTATCTACATAACTATTTAGTTTTGGTGTCCCCAGAACATACCAACAAGGAAGGAAAGACTTGAGTAGATTTCAAGAATCCTGCTTTAGAGACAAGGAAAGAAACTTAGTTTCTTTCAAACACAACTCAAATTTCCCTTTGTATATTGTTCCTCTTTCTCTTTTTCTTATTAAGTAGAATTAATTACTTATATTTCCAACTCTAAGTAATTTTAGTACTCATCTGTCCCTTCTGCTCTCATTTGCTCCAGATCATCTCAAAATGTTAAATGCACTTTATCATTCCATGTTCTAGCAATACTTTGGTGTGCATTATATTTTTGTATGAAAGGCACTAAACCTATAGTCTGATTAAAGACACATGTACACAAACTCTGGTTTTCAATTAAGGTTAAGATCATTGTTTGCAATCCCCAAGTCCACTGATACACTATTATATTTATTAGTCATTTCTGTCCTCAGACTCTTGGCACAGACTTAGCATTTCTGAAATGGTTGGTTGCTTTCTGTTCCTCTCCTCCCCTACAATTGCCAAAAAAGTCTTTATTGTAACTCTCCTTTAGCCCAGCATCTTCAGTGGCTGACCACTCACCCAAAGATTTAATCCAAAGATTGGAGTTTGGAATAAGAGGTCTTCCATGGCCTGGCCCAATCCTATAGCTGCAGT